CCATCTGCTTTTGCAGTACTACTAAAGGTTGTGCTTTACTGCTTTCTATCAATGACAAGTCAATGAGTCGGCCTCCCTGCGTGGCCGATATGTGATCTCAGCTGGTAAAGGACCACAAGAGGAAACAATATGGTGTTACTCTGTAAAAGATTATAACCTGTAAAAACAATACAGGGATGCTGAATTTGTATCCCCCGATAAATGTAATTCTGGGCGCCGGGCAGGCAGTTTTTTTCAAGGGCTCACCTGTCAGGTGGAAGCATTTGAGCACCCCGTCTCCAGCACCCTTTCCCCGACGTGTGAACCTCTCCCCTCGCTTGCCCATCTGTGGGCCCGGGACCGGCTCACCGCCATCAGCAACAGGGGAGAAAGGAGAGCGGACACGCACGCTCCCCTTCCCTTCTTGTCCTGACCCGGAAGTGACGTTGTGTCACTTCCGGGTCCCCGTTGAGAGATTCCCAGCCATGGAGGCAGGGAAAGAATGTAATGCGGTGCGATGTGCACTGCATTACATTCAGTGGAGCAGAGGGGAGGCAATCACAGTCTTTTAGATCTTGGATGTTTCAATAAAGAGAACCTGTCACCAAAAATCATCACATGTCCCCTATGCAAGAAAAACAAAAAAAGTTAAAAAAAAGTTTGTTATTTTAAAAGTTGAAAGTTACACCCAAGCACATAACATCCACGCCCCCCCACAAAAGAAACTGAGGTCCTCCCACCCCCACATATATGCACAAACATAAAAGCATACGCTGGGGTGCCTATGCATGAAAATGTTGATTGCAATACACGTTACAGATCGCTGAGCACGCCAGAGTGAGAGTAAACAGTGCCATCATAGCTCAAAATACAGTATGCCTGCATAATTCCCCTTTATTTGAACCATCAAAAGGATTTTTTTTTTTTTTTTTTTAAAAAAAAAAAAAAAAAAAAAAAAAAAGAAGGAACTAAAACCAGTCTTGTTTACCATCATTGTATTCTATGGATCCGCTGCTTTCAGAAAATATAAAGGGTTTCCGGTTTCTTGTTATACAAAAAAAAAAAAAAAAAAAAAGTGCACCTTAGCATGCGTGCAAAAAAAAAAAAAAAAAAAACATACCAAAGAAAAAAAAAAAAAAAAAACTTGTCTCTATCAGTTAAAGCTGTACCGATGTTGTTCTGCTGTGCACTGTGAGCAGGCAGGCTATTGGTGCAGAGGACACATGCAACGTCTCTGCAATAATACACAATTACCTGCCTGCTCACAGCGATTCCTGGCATGCAACCTGGGCTGCGTATGTGTATATCAGCTTACAGAGGCCGGCCCCTGTGAGCTGGGAAGGCTAGCTCCTGCGCGTGCACAGGAGTGATGTCATCCCACCCCGGCCAATGAAACTGGCCGAAAACCATCACACAGGAGAGGATGCCAGCAAGGGACAAATCTGTTGGAGGAAAGGTAAGTATTCCACCCTCTAAGGCCCATTCACACTGGAAACTGCACATCTACGGCGCATTTTTTTCTTGCAGATTGCATGCATTTAATTATTATTCTTATTATACAGGATTTAGGATAGCGCCAACAGTTTACAAATCACTTTACAACATGGGGGCAGTACAATTACAATACAAATTAATACAGCAGGATTCAGAGGGCCCTGATCCTTAGAGCTTACACTTTAAGAGGGAGGGTCGAGAGATACAAAAGGTAATAACTGTGGGGGATGGGCTGATGGACAAAATACATGTACAGTTGTTAGATAGGGGCAGGATAGGCCTCTCTGAAAAGATGAGTTTTCAGGGATTATCTAACAGTGGACAGAGATGCAGATAGCCAGAAAATTAGGGAAGGGAGTTCCAGAGGATGGGAGCGGCTCTGGAGAAATCCTGGAGGCAAGCATGGGAGGAGGTGACATTTAATTAAAGTTTGCATGCAGCCGATGCGTAGTTTTCTATCTGAATTTGTCCTCTGACTTCACTTCCTTCTTTTTTCTTTCCTTGTGCTTCTATATGCATGCGTTGAAGTGCGTTTGTAGCTTGGAAAAATGCAGCATGCTCTACTTTTATTGACTGCGCTGTATTGCAATGCTGTGAACTATGCCCATAGGATAGCTTTGATTTTGGACTCTCTATGCAGTTGGGAGTGGAGTAAAAAATGCATCCAACTGCACCTGGTGTGAAAGGGCCCTTAGTTCTGCTGTAACCTCTTTGCACCAGCCGCATGCAAATGTGCGGCCTCCTGGCATCTGGGCCTTGACGCTGAGCGGGCACCCTTGCGTGCAATTAAGAAAAACATATGTGCTGAGCGCGTGTCCTGAGCGCTCCCAGCACACATGTCCGGTACTCACGGAAAAGTCCCGATCTCCTCTTTCGATCGGGACGTTTCCCAATCATGTGACCACCGTGACAGCGAATCACGGCGTCCACATGACCTTAAAACCCCACTCCAGCTTCTGAAACCCTTAAAGGGCCGGGAGGCGCAGGCGCCAAGGGGTTAAAAGTTTAAACCCTTCCGTGGAGGGATTCAGGCTGGCCGGACATGAATTGTTTTTGTTCATTGGATTTCCAAGGTGGATGGTGGAATCCTCCCCACTATTATACAGCTATATGCTATGGGGACTCCTCAACTGCCAGAATACACTAACCAGTGCTGGAGCCCATTGGCTGCAGGTGTTGATCGAATGAAAGTTTTCCAACAGTCCCATTTGAAGTCGATGATATGAGTGACTTCTCTTGAACGGGAACTGCCATAGGTGGAACAAAATTCATCCGGTCCCCGAGGAACCAGCTGAATTTCGTTCCATCAATGGCCGGCTTCACCCTCTAAGGGTCATGGTCATCTTTGCCTTTGGTACAGAAACTGATGGGAAATCCAAAACTTTACAGTTGTCACCATAGAAGGAGGTGAGAGGATATTCTCCATTGGGCAGGTGTCTTGGTGACCACATTCACAGCTCAGCGATTTGGAGCACATTTGCAGACACTTCAACGTTCGACACTCAGATTTCCATAATATTTTATCGAACCGCTCAGAAAAGTCCAGGAGCTTCCTCATGGCAGGATGGTGCATTCTTGACCCGAACAGCCATAAAAATGCATGTAGTGTTTTCATGCCCAACAACCCTCCCTTTCCTCCTAGTAATCAGCTTTCAGTTGGCTAAACCAAAACACTCAAACCTGATCACAGGTGAAGGTGAACAAAACATGAAAGACAAACGTGGAGGTAGCTTAACAGGGAATTTCTTTTCTCACTTGAAGAGAAGGTCTACCATTGTGTCTCCAGGACAGGACCTTGAGGGAAACCTTTTCAAAAGGAACACAAAAAGGGCCCAACAGATGGATTTACATACCCATTAAAGGGCTAGTTCACCATTACAAAAATCTGCCCATGCAGACAAAGGGCATCTGTAGATAAAACAAACTATGCAGCTCTGACTACCCTTAACCACTTGAGCTCCAGAGGATTTACCCCCCTTAATGACCACGTCTCTTTTTGCTACTCGGCGCTGCACTAATTCAACTGATAATTGCGCGGTCATGCAATGCTGCACCCAAACGAAATTTTACGTCCTTTTTTTCACACAAATAGAGCTTTCTTTCGGTGTAATTTGATCACCTGTGCACTTATTTTTCACGCTATAAACAAAAAAAGGCCACAAATTTTGAAGAAAAACAATAATTTTTACTTTCAGCTATAAAAATATATAGTAAACTCAAAGTTGGTTATAAATTTAGGCCAAAATGTATTCTGCTCCATGTTTTTTGGTAAAAAAAATCCCAATAAGTGTATATTGATTGCTTTGTGTGGAAGTTATAGCGTCTACAAAACTATGGTATAGATACTGCAATTTACGCCATTTTTCCGCTATACAGCGCTGCGCTAGTTTAACGGACAATTGCAATACGGTACATAAATGAAATTTACATCCTTTTTTTCCCCACAAATTGAGCTTTCTTTCGGTGGTATTTGATTGCCTGTGCGTTTTTATATTTTTGCGCTATAAAAAAAAAGGCTGACAATTTTGAGAAAAAAAAAACCAATATTTTGGACTTTTTGCTATAAAACATGTCCAGTAAAAAAAAAAAATGCAAAAATCAAATTAGTCACAAATTTCTGCCAAAATGCATTCTGCGACATGTCTTTGCTAAAAAAAAAAAACCCAATATGTGTAAATTAATTGGTTTACGTGAAAGTTATAGCGTTTACAAATGGCGGGAAAGATACTGGGATTTTTTAGGGTTTTTTTTATACTAATAATGGCGGCGATCAGCGAATTATGGCGGCGATCAGGGACTTATGGCAGCGACCAGCGACTTATGGTGGGACTGCGGCGGACATTCTGACATTGGGGGGTACTGACTTGGGGTCACTGACATCCCCAAAAACACGAATACAGTGATCAGTGCAAAAAAAAAACAACCCAAAAAACACTGACACTGTACTAATGGCACTGGGGAGGAAGGGGTTAACTTTATTTTGCAGGGAAGGGTTATAAGAGTGAGGGGAGTGTTTTACTAGGGGGCGGGGTGTGTACTGGGCGGGACAAGGCTGATTGAGAAAGAGAAACTGTTGTTTCTCGATCAGCTCATCCTCGAGCTGAGAGGGAAGTGACAGACAGCACATCTACTGCAGCTGTGCTGTCTGTCACTGTTTGCCACCGATCTGCGGCGGTGATCGGCGGGACAGATAGGGCGGCGGCGCGCCTCGCGCGCGCCCCCTATTTGTTTACAAAACACATGTTTTAAAACGTGGTTTTGCCTGCGAGTGCCGCCCTGCCGCCGTATATGTACAGTGGCTGGGCGGCAAGTGATTAAATAATACCCTTGCTATAGGTGTAGACCATTTAAATACCTATTGAAGCCTGACTGGAATACTCTAAGGACATTGCTTAGTGAGGCCTAGCCATTACGGCTCACCTCCACCATCTCAGGAGTGAGTTCTTTCTCCAAGTCCTCATGCACACTGGATGTTTTTACAGCGGCTGCTTTTGACGTTTTTTCTACAGCCAGTAAACTCCCCAGCATGTTATCCCGTGTGTCCATCCCCGGCGTGTTCTCCCGTGTGTCCATCCCCGGCGTGTTCTCCCGTGTGTCCATCCCCGGCGTGTTCTCCCGTGTGTCCATCCCCGGCGTGTTCTCCCGTGTGTCCATCCCCGGCATGTTATCCCGTGTGTCCATCCCGGCATGTTATCCCATGTGTCCATCCCCGGCATGTTATCCCATGTGTCCATCCCCGGCATGTTATCCCATGTGTCCATCACCGGCATGTTATCCCATGTGTCCATCCCCGGCATGTTCTCCCATGTGTCCATCCCCGCATGTTCTCCTATGTGTCCATCCCCGGCATGTTATCCTATGTGTCCATCCCCGGCATGTTATCCTATGTGTCCATCCCCGGCATGTTATCCTATGTGTCCATCCCCGGCATGTTATCCTATGTGTCCATCCCCGGCATGTTCTCCTATGTGTCCATCCCCGGCATGTTCTCCTATGTGTCCATCCCCGGCATGTTCTCCTATGTGTCCATCCCCGGCATGTTATCCTATGTGTCCATCCCCGGAATGTTATCCTATGTATCCATCCCCGGAATGTTATCCTATGTGTCCATGTGTCAGGGCTCCCAGGTGTGACCAGAGGTGTGTGACTGACGCAGGGAAACGCAGACTTCAGATATGTGATAAACAATATAATTTATTAACACTAACAATACAAACATAAACGCAGTGCAATACTAAACATAATACAGTGCAAACAAACCAAACCAACCACCCACAGATAACAGTACATACAAGCAAGCGTCGTCAGGCAGGCCGGGTCAATATCAATTGGGCAGGTAGGTACAGGGGGAGCAAGCGGAGATTGGTCGGGGTCACAGGCCAGGTTCCGCAGGTAACTAGCAGCGTAGTACAGAGGGTCAGGCAGAGGGATGGTCAGGGTCACAAGCCAGGGATCAGAACAGGTAGCAGGCAGCGTAGTACAGAGGGTCAGGCAGAGGGATGGTCAGACAAGCCAGGGATCAGAACAGGTAGCAGAGAATCAGACAGGAACAGAGAGCAGGAACAGGATACAGGGCCCAAGAGAAACACAACACCAAGGCAGAGTCTGCAAGTCTGGCCATCCCTTAAATACCCCAGCATAATCAGTTCCAGGTGTTAGCTGGCTGCAAAGTTGAGTCTCTGATTGCTGGGAGCATCCGCTGGCCAGCCCTGGTACTGCAGATCAAAAGGCAGGTGAGTCCCACCATTGCTGGCTAGTCCATTCCTGACAGTACCCCCCCCTCAAGGAGCGGCCTCAGGACGCTCCAAACAGTCCTAGCTGGGCAAAAATGTTCCACCGCCCGGGTCTGGTAACTGGCGGGATATCAAAGACTGGCACACCGGGCTGGACTCCCGGCAGAGGCCCATCGGGCTGGACTCCCGGCAGAGGCCCATCGGATTACCAGGCGAAGAGGCAGGCACCGGGCCCCCGGGCGGGGCGGCGGGCGTCGGGCCCCCGGGCGGGGCGGCGGGCGTCGGGCCCCCGGGCGGGGCGGCGGGCGTCGGGCCCCCGGGCGGGGCGGCGGGCGTCGGGCCCCCGGGCGGGGCGGCGGGCGTCGGGCCCCCGGGCGGGGCGGCGGGCGTCGGGCCCCCGGGCGGGGGCGGCGGGCGTCGGGCCCCCGGGCGGGGCGACGGGCGTCGGGCCCTCGGGCGGAGCGGCGGGCGCCGGACCCCTAGATGGAGCGGCAGGTCTCGGGCCCTCAGGCGGAGCGGCGGGCGCCGGACCCCCAGGCGAAGCGGCGGGCACCGAGTCACCAGGCACGACAGTGGGCACCGAGTCGTCTGGCAAGACTGCGGGCACCGAGTCGTCTGGCAAGACTGCGGGCACCGAGTCGTCTGGCAAGACTGCGGGCACCGAGTCGTCTGGCAAGACTGCGGGCACCGAGTCGTCTGGCAAGACTGCGGGCACCGAGTCGTCTGGCAAGACTGCGGGCACCGAGTCGTCTGGCAGACTGCGGGCACCGAGTCGTCTGGCAAGACTGCGGGCACCGAGTCGTCTGGCAAGACTGCGGGCACCGAGTCGTCTGGCAAGACTGCGGGCACCGAGTCGTCTGGCAAGACTGCGGGCACCGAGTCGTCTGGCAAGACTGCGGGCACCGAGTCGTCTGGCAAGACTGCGGGCACCGAGTCGTCTGGCAAGACTGCGGGCACCGAGTCGTCTGGCAAGACTGCGGGCACCGAGTCGTCCGGCAAGACTGCGGGCACCGAGTCGTCTGGCAAGACTGCGGGCACCGAGTCGTCTGGCAAGACTGCGGGCACCGAGTCGTCTGGCAAGACTGCGGGCACCGAGTCGTCTGGCAAGACTGCGGGCACCGAGTCAACTGGCGGAACAGCGGGCATCGAGTCGTCTGGCAAGACTGCGGGCACCGAGTCGTCTGGCAGAACAGCGGGCACCGAGTCGATTGGCACGACAGCGGGCACTGGATCAGGTACTGGATCATCTGGATCAACAGCAGGCATCGAGTCAACTGGCCTAATAGGATCGTCGGGCTGGATCAGTTCATCATGCTGAGTAGCGGCATCCGGCTGAAGAGAGGCATCCGGCTGAAGAGAGGCATCCGGCTGAAGAGAGGCATCCGGCTGAAGAGAGGCATCCGGCTGAAGAGAGGCATCCGGCTGAAGAGAGGCATCCGGCTGAAGAGAGGCATCCGGCCGAGTAGAGGCATCCGGCCGAGTAGAGGCTTCAGGCCGAGTAGAGGCTTCAGGCTGAGTCACGGAAGGCAGGTTCACCGGTTTGGATACTGGCAGGATGGTATTGGTTGGAAAGAATTTTCGCTTTTTTCTGGTTTTAACTACGGGAGCACTGCAAGTAAACGCAGGTCTGCAAACGAATGGAGCAGCTGGAGACAGAGAAAAACTGGAGGATGGAACAGGAGAGGGAGCAGTTGCTACAGAGGGCTTTTTTACAGGGTTAAAGGCAGGATAGGTGCAGCGAGTGGGAACAGGGTACTGACATGCGGTAGATAGCCAAGTATACTGGGCTGTAACTGGAGGAGCTGGTGGGAATACAGGAGTAGAGTTAGAAGCAGGACTGGGTTTTTGTAAGCTGACTGAGACTGGGTGCAACAAATCTGTCCATGTCTGCAGTAGGGGTTGAACAAAGCTGAGCTTACACAAAGCCTGTCTGGTCAATGACTGCACTGCGTTTATACAATCTCTTAGTGTCTGTGGTGAACATGTGGAATAACGCTCCAGAAAGTAACCCACATCATCCTCTAATAACCACACCAGGGACTCTACCTGGTCTGCACTAAATGGTGGCAAAAATTAATCTCTGCATTCGGGGGTACCCAGATGAAACCAACTCAGCACAAACCTCAATCAATGGCTGCACCTCAGAGAACACTGTGCCCTGATCTACTAGAACATGAGCGAGCCGTATACATTCTAGCAGTTCATCCCGGGGATACTCCTTCAGAGTTTGATAAGCATACTCCCTGTCATCAAACACTAGCAGATATAAATACTCAACCTCATCCAGATCCATCCTTCCCATCAACAAACCAAGATGGCTTCCCTGTGCAGCCACTTCTGGTCAGGATTGGCCTTGGTGTAATGTCAGGGCTCCCAGGTGTGACCAGAGGTGTGTGACTGACGCAGGGAAACGCAGACTTCAGATATGTGATAAACAATATAATTTATTAACACTAACAATACAAACATAAACGCAGTGCAATACTAAACATAATACAGTGCAAACAAACCAAACCAACCACCCACAGATAACAGTACATACAAGCAAGCGTCGTCAGGCAGGCCGGGTCTATATCAATTGGGCAGGTAGGTACAGGGGGAGCAAGCGGAGATTGGTCGGGGTCACAGGCCAGGTTCCGCAGGTAACTAGCAGCGTAGTACAGAGGGTCAGGCAGAGGGATGGTCAGGGTCACAAGCCAGGGATCAGAACAGGTAGCAGGCAGCGTAGTACAGAGGGTCAGGCAGAGGGATGGTCAGACAAGCCAGGGATCAGAACAGCTGGCAGAGAATCAGACAGGAACAGAGAGCAGGAACAGGATACAGGGCCCAAGAGAAACACAACACCAAGGCAGAGTCTGCAAGTCTGGCCATCCCTTAAATACCCCAGCATAATCAGTTCCAGGTGTTAGCTGGCTGCAAAGTTGAGTCTCTGATTGCTGGGAGCATCCGCTGGCCAGCCCTGGTACTGCAGATCAAAAGGCAGGTGAGTCCCACCATTGCTGGCTAGTCCATTCCTGACACCATGCACACAGACTGAAATCAGCGTTTTTTGGCTGGAAAAAAACCCAGAACTAGTGGGCTTCCAGGAGTTTTTTTAGCTGTAAAAACGCTCTAACACTGAAAAACGCAACAAAACGCGGTAAATTGCGGCAAACCACCATTTTTGGAGTTTTGTTAACCAAAAAAATATACTTTTTTGGTCAAATAAAAAAACTCTAAAAAAAAAAGGCAAAACATGGAAAAATTATGCTAAACGCTAATACAAAAACGCTGAAAAACTCATGTTTTTAATGTCTTTACACAGCTAATGTTATCAGCATTATTAAAACGTCCTGTGTGCATGCAGCCTTATTCATATCCGATCCGATTCTTTTTTCATACCACTAGTGGTTTGTCTACAACCGCAAAGCTGGAAGTGAATAAATGCTCATCCTTCTGGTTACTTAGACCAAAGAGATGATTGGAGCCGTTCCAGTCTCCATTCAGCTCTATGATCATTCTTGGGTTCCTTGATGGAATAAGAGAGCCCCCCCCCCCCCCCCCCCCCCTTCGCTAGTAAAAGCAATGCAAGGTCTATTTAGCTGCTAGGATTGCTTTTACAAGAAAACAAACTGCATCATCCTGGGACATCGCTGGTCTTCAAGTAGTAGCTGGTTTCTATAGGAATGTGTTAGCCACCATGTTTTGCCTACTCGTGCACGTTCACTTTATGAGGCCTACTGTGTGCGCCATTCATAAGATCTGCACTTGTACAGATCCCGGCACATAACATGCTGCATGATAGTATCACAAACTATGGGAAATGCAGTATGCTGCCCATAGCAACCAGGCTACATCTGGGATTCATCCAGCACAAAGTAAACATAGCCCTCTAAATAGTTGCTACGGGCAACCCACTTTTATTAAACTTCACGAGGTCTACTGTGTGTGCCATCCATCAGATCTGCTTTTGCACAGATCCCAGCAATGACCATACAGCACTGCACAATGGTAGTGGTGCACCGCAATAAAAATTCTTGGACCAAAACCGAAAATTCAGGATGTACAGTAGATATAAAAAGTCTACACACCCCTGTTAATATGTCAGGTTCCTGCAATGTAAAAATGAGACAAAAGATAAATCATTTCAGAACTTTTTTCACCTTTAAATGTGACCTACAAACTGTACAACTCAGTTGAATAACAAACTGAAATCTTTTTTTTTTTTTTTTGGGGGGGGGGGGGGGGGGTACAAATAAAAAACTAAAATAATATGGTTGCATAAGTGTACACACCCTTACACTAATCCTTTGTTGAAGCACATTTTGATGTGATTCCAGCACTCAGTCTTTTTGGGGAGGAGTCTATCAGCATGGCACATCTTGGCTTGGCGATATTTGCCCGCTCTTCCTTGCAAAAACACTCCAAATCTGTCATTGTGAGGGCATCTCCTGTGCACAGCCCTCTTCAGATCACCCTACAGATTTTCCATCAGATTCAGGTCTGGGCTCTGGCTGGGCCATTCCAAAACTTTCATCTTCTTCTGGCGAAGCCATTCCTTTGTTGATTTGGATGTATGCTTTGGGTCGTTGTCATGCGGAAAGATGAAGTTCCTCTTCATGATCAGCTTTCCAGCAGAAGGTTTTGTGCCAATATTGACTGGTATTTGGAACTGTTCATAATTCCTTCTACGTTGACAAAGGCCTCAGTTCCAGCTGAAGAAAAACAGCCCCAAAGCATGATGCTGCCACCACCATGCTTCACTGTGGGTATGGTGTTCTTTGGTGATGTGCAGTGTTGTTTTTGCGCCAAACATATCTTTTGGAATTATGGCCAAAAAGTTCAACCTTGGTTTCATCGGACCAGAACAGATTTTCTCACAAGCTTTTGGGAGACTTCAGATGTGTTTTTGCAAAATTTAGCCGGGCTTGGATGTTTTTCTTTGTAAGAAAAGGCTTCCATCTTGCCACTCTACCCCATAGCCCAGACATACGAAGAATACGGGAGATTGTTGTCACATGTACCACACTGCCAGTACTTGCCTGATATTCCTGATGCTCCTTTAATGTTGCTGTAGGCCTCTTGGAAGCCTCCCAGACCAGTTTTCTTCTCGTCTTTTCATCAATTCTAGAGGGACGTCCAGTTCTTGGTGATGTCACTGTTGCGCCATATTTTCTCCACTTGATGATGACGGTCTTCACTGTGTTCCATGTTATATCTAATGCCTTGGAAATTCTTTTGTACCCTTCTCCTGAATGATACCTTTTAACAATGAGATCCTTCTGATGCTTTGGAAGCTCTCTGAGGACCATGGCTTTTGCTGTAGGATGCGACTAAGAAAATGTCAAGAAAGACCTACTAGAACAGCTGAACTTTATTTGGGGCTGATCAGAGGCACTTTAAATGATGGCAGGTGTGTACTGACTCCTATTTAATATGACTTTAAATGTGATTGCTTAATTCTGTACACAGCTACATCCCCAGTAATAAGAGGGTGTGCACACTTATGCAACCACATTATTTTATTTTTTTATGTTTATTCCCCACCCCCCCACCTAAAAAAAGAAAGATTTCAGTTTGTATTTTAATTGAGTTGTACAGTTTATAGGTCACATTAAGGTCCAGTTCATACTACATGCAATTCAGTTGCTTTTTTT